AACGAGTAAAAATACTCAGCGATACTACACAACAAAACGACTAATAAGTTATTTATTATCCAACACGCCAAACTGTTATTTCAGTGCGGGCGAATTTCGCGGATATTTATTTACGGGGAGTGCGTGACAGAAGTATGTCAAGCTGTTTTTCTTCGTTCGATTCATCTAATAAACTTTGACCTATATTTGCCGGCCATTCTGACTCTTCGTTGTCGGAAATATGATTCAGATTGTCCGCCACTTTATTTTTTTCGTGACTACAATCCAATTCTTCGCTTACGCGATGCGAGAAAACCTGTTTAACCGGTACTCTACAATAGACGAGAACAAGTACCGCGTGATATTCGTACTCGTCTATGGCGTTTTTTTGTACTCGTCTAAGTGTAGTTGGATAATAAAATCTGTTATTTGTTATTTTCCTTCTTCTTATCACCTTTTTTACTTGGAAATTTGAAGCTATAGCTAGGAGAAATTCTTTGTTAGCTACCCTTGGGGGAGGGACGATAAAAGGAGCTGAGTAGTGTACATCCACCCCTGCTACTAACGCACGATTCAGAAAGCCTCGGCGTACAGTAGCGTATTGAAATGAAAGAGGTGTCTTGATGCTGTAATGTACCTTCCACGATCAAAGAAGTCCTACGAGAGATTTCGTCCCACACAAAGAAGGTGCTAAATGTAAAGTTTTACTTTTTTAGAAAATAAGAAAAAGATCCATTTTATGCAGACGGCGCTTTATGAGCTAGTTTAAGCTTTGCTAGTCGCGATATTTCTGAATGAAACTGAACTCTGTTATTCGGGGCTTACTGAGATTTTCCCATTGATTTATAGACTATAATTTTGCTCGAGCTCATTTCTTACTTCTAATGATGTTTGTCTTATTCTTAAATCAAAGTAAGATATCATGACATCGGACTCTACCTCAGCTATTAAGAAACATATCCTGTATTCTCTATTCAGGAGACAACAGCTCTGTTTTCAGCTAGTAACGGTGGGGCATTAATCATATTATGGTCTTTCGTGAAAGCTTGGTCAAACAAGCTAGAAAACTTACATGATTCATGAAGTTATCACTGGTCGACTTTTCTTTCATGCAAAAACTATTTATATACTTCATTGTGAACTTGGTAGTTTGCTGTCCTTAGGGTATTTTAGCTCTATTTTTATTTTTAATCTTCGCGTTATCTTCATATGTTATAAAGAATCAAAAAGAGGAGACTGTACCATTGAGTTTTTATTTTTACTCGCTCATATTAACCTTTTTA